CCTTATGAGTGACTTGCTTCACTAAAACAGGAAGGAGGCGTCGATACTTATATCGACAAGTTTTTACAACTAGCCCAACAAACTCTGAATCTGGCGGAAGAACATGTGCTGGGATACTTTTTTAGCGGTTTGGATCGGGAAATTTATAATAGATTGAGACCGTTGGACCCTCGAGACTTAGACACTGCAATAATGATAAGTCGTAGTGTAGAAATCGAATTATAGGAATCTCAATGAAGCAATTTGAGCCGTTATGGAGTAAGCCGATGACCATCTTCTATCCGAGCAGGAAATATAGTGAGCTTACCAATGGTAAATCAGTCAACGGGGCATTCTTCGGAGCAAGAGAGTGTTTTGAGTAGCCGTATCCACACATTGCGGTCGACAGCCTCTGGTCAATGTTCGGCAAGGACACAGAATATGCGACTCAAACCACAGGAATTCAGTGATCTTAGAGCAAAAGGTTTATGTTTCCGATACAGACAACCCTACAGCCCGACTCATGAGTGTCCAATGAAACAGATATGTACATTGATCATGGACGAAGGGCAATCTTGGGACTCCGGGCTAGGACAAATGGATGATGGAGATAGCGAGCCGGCAAGAATTGATATAGAAGGACAAAAGGGGAACATGGGGGAGGCGTCCCTACCTTTGTATTCACTAGCGGGCTTCACGGGTCCGTGAACTATGAGGGTTTATGGAATTCTTAATGGAATAGAAGTGGCGATACTTTTGGATAGCGGAGCAACACATAATTTTGTGTCGCAGGAGTTGGCGGGGAGATTATCATTGTCAATCCAACATGCTGGATTTTATACGGTGACACTCAGGGATGAGAGACAACTTTTGTGTACTGGAGTCTGTAGGGCCCTGCAGTTGCTGGTTGGCAAGGTAGATATTGTAGCTGATTGTTACGTATTTCCAGTCGGTAGTGTGGATGTTATATTAGGATTGGCATGGCTGCAGACTTTGGGAGATGTGCGAGTCAATTGGGGTACTATGACAATGTCGTATAACCAAGGAAAAGAGTTTGTGACCCTTCTAGGGGATCCGACCTTGTTGCGCTCACCGGTGGCACTTCGAACCTTGTTGAAAACAACGGAAGCGGACTTTTGGGCCTTAGTGGTGGAACCGGCGAGTTGCGTAGAGATTCGAGGAGCCATGTTAGCAATGCAGGCCAACATTGCAAGCCAAAAGGATCTCGAGAAAGTGTTAGAGCAATATGCGGATGTGTTTGAGGAGTCGGGAAGGTTACCATCAATGCGTGACAAGGATCATCGTATAGAACTCCAACCAGGTTCTGGCCCAGTTTCTGTACGGCGCTATTGTTATGGGTCATTTGAAAAAAGATGAGATTGAGTTCATGGTGAAGGATATGTTAACAAGGATTATTCACCCAAGTTCAATTCCATTTTTGAGCTTATTGTTGTTGATAAAGAAGAAAGACGGAAGTTGAAGATTTTGTATCGATTATGGTGAGCCAAACAACAAGGTGTCTTTTTTAAAGTTCCATATCCATTACAGTAAACTTAAATGATGTTGTAGTATTCTTTATCTGACTGTTGTGTTGATATAATCAGAATCAATACCTACAGTATTGCCCTTGGGAATTCAGAGGCCTTACTTACATGGCAAATATTTTTTTTTCTTAAGTTGATGGTATTATTAAGGTTGTGGCACTCAAGGAGTCAGTAACGGATTCTTGGAGAACTTGGTCAACTCATTTTTTGTTAGCTGGTTACGGAAGTTATTTGCCGCCAACATGACCTATATTTCCAAAATGACATTCATGATATTTCTATTATTGTTTGTTTATGCTTCTCTATTGAAGTAATTCATTTTGCACTGGCAATATCTATTTGCTTATATAACCTTAAAGTACACCTACTTGCTATGCTTATCAATTGCTTATAATGCAAGCAATAGAGCAACCAATATTATGGTATTTTAATGGTTCTTATATAACTTCTAAAGTACACCTACTTTCTATGTTTATTAATTTCTTGTAATGCAAGCAATGGTGCAACCAATATTATAGTATTTTAATGGTTCTTGAGTCTTGTACAATAAGATAATGTAATCTATCTATGTCCCTTCACACATAATGAGCTTGCAATCTTATGCTTTTTAAACTCAATCTTCCTTATAGGTTTACCACCGATCCACATACATCAATGGGGCTAGTGCAACATGAGGGTGGGGAATGTGGCGTATCAGCTGCTATACAGGTAGTGGTTTATTAGGTAATTGTTTATTTCTAATTTATCTATAAAGTAACAAATGTCAGTTAGACAAATGGATAGTTCTAGTATATATATATATCGACACATACATATATACACACACTAAAAAAATGCAATGAAAGCAAAATTGTAAATTATTTTCTTTATTTCTAGTATATATATATGCTTAATATGTTCTTCGTGCAGCTGTAGACTTTTTTATTATTTGTTGTTAGACTTGCTTATTTTCTATAATTATTTCATATATGTCTTTTTAAAGTATTTTATAGTGAAGTTTATAAAAATGTAATGGTAATGGTGCTAAGACTTTCAAGGTGTTGGATATGAAAAGAAATTGGTGCAACACCAGCTAACTCAATATCCAGACTTCAGAGGAGTTGAGTATTGGGAAGACAAATTCAAAGCTTTTGATTTTGGGAGATCATAAGATTGTCCACAGGGTTTGGAAAGATTATTATGCCAATATACTGACTAATTTATGTGAATAATATATGCAATCTGATATTCCTACAAAATATTTTAACAGGGTACTAAAGAGATATCATTCAAGTGAAACGTAAAGTATATGATTGGTGGGTTTGTATTGTTGAGTTAAACAATATTTGCCTTGATCAACAATTGTTTTGCTGCATATTCAAAATATAGAGGATTAAATGATGAGTTGTTATCATAATAAATGAAAATGAAAGCAAAGATGTTCTGGCATTGACAGTTTCAATGTTTTATCTTCTTGTTCCAAATTTTAAAATAATTTATATAATTCTTTTATGTTTTTATAGTTCTTGTGATTCTATTTATCTTGAATAGAAGAAGTCAAATGTTTCAAATATTAGAGCTATAGAAGTGAAATGAGGCCTTTATTTGATCGTTATTGGGAGCAACATGATGACCATTTATTTCTTCCTAATGAATCTGAAAATATTATTTTAGTTGTATTCTTGTCTTCTTTGTACGTTATCAATGTCAAGCCATGGTTTAAATTTATGTAGTTAGAGAATGTTTTATAATACCTCAGCTCGTAAAAGGAAAAGATAGGAGGGCCCAACGGAGAATGCCTTAATTCTATATTTGTTGATTCTAGTGATATTTGTCTTGATTTGCTTAATTATTGTTTCATAGGTGCATGTATGGAAAATCATCAAATAAATATTATATATATTTGGGAGCTCTGCCTATAGCATAGCTGAATCTATGGAAAAACAACAAACATATACATTTACAATTCTACTCTTTTCAAATAATTTGTTTGGGGAATGCAAATAAGATTTGTAATTTTTTCTGGGTTTGTAATTATCATTTACAATTGTTGATTTTACGATTGGGCCAACTCAAGATATGGAAACAGCATAATGTAAGGTGCATGGCTCAAGATAAAGGTATGATGTAGATGGAGTAAGTATTCAAATTTGACATTTAACATGCATTACTCGTTTATACCACGTATACGTATTGATCCTTACTATAAATTTATTTTGCTTATAAGTTATCCACACAAAAGAATGTTGAAGATAGCTGCAAATCTTTTGATGTAGATCGAATCTCATGCTATCCGTACCAAACTCATGATCGTTTGCAATTTTAGTTTTTAATGGTTGGGAGCCTTTAAGTGCTTCGTAATAGTTAATACTTAGTTGTCCTTTGTTTAATTGTGGGGGTTGTCATATATTTATCTAGTGTATTTGGTTGTTGGTTACCGTTTGCCCATTTGATTATATTTTCCTTGCCTTGTTCGTCTTGTTTTGTTGTATTTTTATGTCTTTTTGTTGCTGAAACTTTCAGAAACTTTTTATTGTTGTTGTATAGCATGCATAGGGGTTTATTATTGCTGTTGATCCACTAATTCAATACTTGCCCCATTTGGAACTTCGGAGGGATGGATATTATGTTATACTTTTAAATATTTGAGAATAGGTTGGGCATAGTTGTTCGATTTACAAATGTTATATTCCTTACAAGTTGTTGTAGGTCCTACCCGAGTTGTTTCAAGTAGAAGCTTTTGCAAAACTTAACAATAGCATAGGAAAAGTAAATATATTTTTTTCCTTAATAAATTTAGAGATGCTTGTGACACTAGTGTAAACCAGTTACGGTAACTATGACAAATATTATTAGTATCTGAAAAATTGTATAAATGTTAATATTTTTTTGGGAGTTCTCATCCAATGCTATTGAATGAACCAAAAGTCGCTTTGGTTAATTTAGCAGATAGATTATCAATGTTATTTTGGGTTATATATTTAATAGATGGTTTAGAGAAGAATTTGATAGAAATTTCTTATTATAGTTTGTAGTTTTGTATGCTACAATATTTTTGTTCTGTTTCATGTGTTAAGCAAAGGGAAGGTCTTCTCTTGTGTGACATTTGTCAAATATATCTGCTTATGTTGTAATGTATGAGTCATTCCTGATGGTTAATCTCATTACTCTTATTTGTTCGTTAATTATCATGTGACATTGTGAATTATTTCACTAAGTGTAACAAGTATTTATGATTTGTATTTATCGATTTTAAATTAAACTTTATACAAGTTCGCATTTCATTGTAGTTACTTTGCTGTCCCTGAGTATCTTCGTATTGAATTGGCATGGTTTTTGGGAGAACAATATTGAATTTATATTTTTGGTGTGTCGGAGAATGTTGTTGGATCAAAGTTTTGTTGTTATGGTGAATTTTCATAAAAAAAATATTTTTTCTAACGACATTAAAGTATTTGTAACATTTCTTTTCTTACGGAAAGGTTATTATTACGACGAAGGATAATAATACGGATTTTTTTGTAATGGATAATTTTGTTACAAATAATAAATTCAACCGTTACAAATAAATTTAGCACGAGCGTAATAGGTGTGTTGACCATCAACTTTTTGTAAAGGAAATTGTCATTACATAGACTCTTTGTTACTCGAGTTTTTGTATCGGTCAAAATCCGTTACAAAGTCGACACAAAAGTCTTCTTGTATCGAAAAATTAGCATTCGTATCGACTTTTCGGCAGCTACAAAAGGCTTAGTTTCTGGTAGTGAGAGCATGGTCCCTATAAAATATTTTCCATCCCAATGCAAATGATAATACGTTGTCAACATAGGATAGAGTCACGGGACATATCTGCCCACATAAATCCTCAAGGAGGATTTCTTGGTCCACCAAGTGCTTCACCTTTGGAGCAAATGAACATGGCAAGCGCTGCAAAAATATTAAATTTTTTACAAGGATGCATGCTTTATAAAAATTGCAGAAATTACAGAAGAATTTCATGTTCACGGATCAACAATTTCGCTACTAAACATCCTAAAACTATAACATTTAGTACTCAACAAGTTGGTGGGTGATGAGAGGATACTTGCTTAATGTAATAAATTACTTAAAGTTCAATAATTGTTCGTCAAACCATGTTTTCATCCCATAATAATAGACACTACATATTACAATGTGATTACAAGCAGCATTCTCCCAAAGGTTAAGAATAAAAAGTCCAAAAATTCAAAATGAAGGAGAGAGTACCAGTGCATGTAAGACATCAGCATCACGGGGAATTGATGGTAATAACTCCTTCTCTGTCAGGTGAGATATGGAGCCCTCATGATGTCTATATGCCATCTTTTTTTGGTTTTTGATTTTTTTTTTTAACCTTGATTTACCTAGATGTTAGAAAAAAATAGCATGAAGTCCATGTAAAATGGAAGTCAAGATTAGTGAAAACAAGAACATTCAAAAATCACTGGGAGAACATGCGTAAACACACTTTAAATTGCTTAGAAATAACTGCCACTCCAAATCCCATGATTTAATAACCCATGAACCAATATATATATATATATATATTAAACACTATTTATATAAGCTTTTTTCATTGATACCTGATCATAGATACGGCACCATTTATCCATTGTGAACATACACCATGTGCTCGATCATGGTCCTGATTTGATCGCCATGGATCGAGTTGTATTCTAGGAGCACACGTGTAAATTGGCTTTTGATCTTCTTACGCTGCAATCAAACACAAACGAGACATTTCTATAGGATTAAGTATATAATTTTTATTTTTTTTTAAAAAAAAACTACAGCTTAGATCAGATCTAATTTAAACAAAAAAAAATAGAAAGAAAATATTATGTAAGAAAAGTCATAAAATAATCAGATGTGGTTTTCTTATAATTAGATCTGATGCTCATCTTATCGATTGTAAAATTTTTAATCTGAGAATCATTTAGAAAGTAGATCAACCAAGAAATCAAAACCCCTTAAGTTTACTTTCCTTGAAAAAGACCCCAGATTGATGAACAATAATCATAAGAAATCATTTAAAAATCTACCAACTCTTATATCAGAACCCTAGTTTTGCTTTCTATAAAAGAAAAAGTCCAGATTGTGAAAAGAGAAAGGATAGAGTAGAGAAAGATGTGAGATCAGATCCAGGACATGGAACCATATATTACCTTCAGATGAACAAATTAAATTAAGGAGATGAAGAATTAAAGCGCAACTCAAGGGATCTGCAAGATAGAAATCAACAATTCTGCGGTGAAACAAACAGCTTTACAGATAGAAAAAACACTGCAAATATCGTCAAGCAGAAGCATTGGTATATATAGATAAATATAGATACAAGTCTGTGGGCAGATTTGTTACCTGCAGCAGCGGTGTTGGAACGGCGATACAAACTAAGAATGGGTTTTGAGGGTGTGAAGAGTGGTAATGGACGCAGGAGTTTTATAGAGAGGGCCAACGTCTAGTGGAAGATATTTTGTGATAATTATTGGGCCGCCTGGCCTCAACTGCATTTCTTCGTTTAGGGCCTTTCTCTTACTGCACACAAATTAGGGTTTCAAATTGGGCTTTAATTCTCTTTTTTTTTTTTTTTTTTTTTTGTTTTATTTGGACAGTTCGTCAACAAAAAGAAACACCAGCTCACTGTTTTTTCTCTTTTTGTCTTTAGGTTATTTTTATAGAGAATGGAAATGATAATACAGGTCCAAATTATAGTTGTATAATTCCATACATATGATTGTATATATATATATATATTACTAATCCCTTGGTACGTTATTAAAGCAAGATGGTGGAGCGAGCTTGCAAAACGCAGACATCATTCTACATTGGCTGCGAAGATTAACGAGGGATTCAATGAAACCTACAAAGCTTCTTTGAGAATTATATGTATTTAATACTGCCCTGTTGATGTTCATTCTTCAGAAGTAATCTTCAACCATCTACGCATATTTTCATTCGGAGGAATACAAACAACCAGTTTGATCTTTGTGCCAACTAATGTACACCAATGGTAGAGGATTCAGGGATCCATTAGTATAGTGCTGAGCAAAACTTAACATTTGACATCTCAATTTGATTCAAGAATGTTAATAAATCTGAACTGAACTACTTCTAATGCGACATCGTATTTTAGTATTAGAGGCCTTGGTATTCCATGAGCTAGGATGAGCAGGCCATGGCAACCTGATCGCCAAACTCTGAAAGACAAGATCGGATGTTAATAGGAAATAAGCAAATAAGCTGCATAGCAGTATATTATTCAATCATATATATTTCCGTAACCTTTCGGCAATGGTAAATAAAGAGCATTTACCTCATGTAAGATCTTTGTGGATGGCTTAAGACAACATACTTTAGCAGTTTAATTCAGGCTGGAGTGATCATTAATAGACTGAGTGGCTGTGACAGAATATGTTTGTATCATAAAGTAAGTATACATGCACAAGACTTGTCGAATAGTGGAGACTGCAACTCTCTTCCAACATTTTATATATATAGCATCTGATAGAAAATATTTTCGGCCTCAGTTTATCTGGCAGATCAACTTGCGGAAACCCACCTGTACAAGAAATTCCTAAAAATACAAGGGGAAAGTGAGAGAATATGGTACTTATTAGAACCACCTTAAATGTTCATTAGTTCTTCTTGATACATTTAAAACAACAGCACTTACGGTGCTAATTAGAATTAATCAAATTAATCCCAATTAGTATATAATAAAAAGACCCAAAGCACGTGCTCTAATTGCTTGCAACACAAAAATACATGTTGACATAGTATAAATACTGACAATGCATGCCATCATTGATCTTTTCATATATCACACGTAGCATTATACATAGCATTTACTGTCGACACATGATAATAGTTTTAATTCTAGTCATATGTTATGTATACATTTACTATGTGATAAGTAGAGTCAATGAGCACCTTAACTATCCCTAAAACAATTCTGAACTCTAGAAATCAGATATAAGAGACATAATATATATATATATCCAAATCTAAGTGTTGTTGGTACATGAGGGTACTTTATAAGAACACATTACATTGGCATATTGAATATCATATATACGCCAAAATTAGACAAAAATAATTTATCAATATTTAATAATAGATATTTCAAGTTTATTTTGACTTTATTGTATCAAACATAGAGTAGTTAATTCAGTTTGGATGCAGACGTTATTTCAGTTGATTCTTTTTACAATTAAGCTACTTTCAATTAATTAAATCTCATTTTATTGGTAAAACGTAAAAGGGGTTAGTTATATCCGCAACTGCAATTAATAACATGTTATCATTGTATGTCAAACAAAGAAGTGTAATTTGTAAGAAATGACAAATTTCCGCAATCATACGTAACAAACTTCTATCTATGCAAATATTTGGATAACCTAAAAGTTTGGGCCGCGGATGTATTCTTAAATCACGGTTGTGTCACCACTGATTTTACTAGGAAAATTTTTACAATTTAATAAATATGCTACCAATGGAAAGTTTTGGTGTCCTAATTAAAATTTAAAGTGTTACTAATATCTATTTAAATTAGAAAAGATAAATTGTTCGTATGTTCTCTTAATAAAATTAAACCTATTAGTTAATTTTATTTGTAAGTTTATATATTATGATACTGGTAAAAAGTTATTTATAGAGCGGTCTCTGCCTAAAACTATAGAACAATAGAATACAATGTTGTACATAAATCATATAATGTGATTTTACAAGTCAGGAATATAAATTACATAGGTCTCTTTTATATTATTACGATGTAGTAAGAGAATTACCTGCGGCTGGATAAAGTCTGGGGAATATATAGGCAACAATACTTTCTGTCTGGAAAATGCAGTATAGCATATTCTACAAAGTTAAGAAGTTGAATGGTCATTTCTCGTTGTAGTTGAAAGAAAAATTAGAACGATTTGAATCACATTGATTAACCAACAAAAACATAAGAAAAACAATCTGATTGGGAAAAATAAAAATGAGAAGAGAGAATAGGGAAAGAAAACCCAATTGAAATATAATTATATTGAGCAGGATTTGTACTAATTTTCTTATCACAACAAAAACTGAATTAAAACGCGCTCTGATGCATTAGAGATACTCTGTGCTTCCCTCCACCAAAATTAGCAAAAGTCGTAGAACTAATATAGCCTAAGGCTGCTTCTAGTTACAATCTTTAGAAAGATTGTGTTGGTGTAGGAATACAAAAGAAGGACAACTTCTCAAACAATTATCACTTCTTGATAATAATACCAAATACATCATATTTAAACTACCACTCAAACGTTACTACACAATTGATTATTAAAGCAATTTAAAGGGATCATAAAAATAAATATAAACCCCCTATAACAGCTAGCCACTTTCTTTCTCCGTAATGCCCACTAATTATTTTGAATCATAACCGACACTCCCCTTGATTCAAACTCTCCTACTCCCATTAAAGTTCTGAACTACTCATGCTTTGCTTGGGGAAGAAACTTTATCAAAATGTCAGCTACTTGCTCATTTGTGCCACAAAACTCCAATGCAATCACGCCTTTTGCTGCAAGCTGCCGAATGAAATGATGTTGCACATCGATATGTTTTGTTCTTCCGTGAAATGTAGGATTTTTGGACATAGCTATCGCAGACCTATTGTCACAAAAGATCAATGTTGCTTCCTTTTGTTCTATGTTCACATGGGTTAACACTTTTCTCAGCCATAGAGCTTGCTTTGCTGTTGTTGTCGCTGCTGCATACTCTGCCTCTGAAGACGAAATAAGCCACAGTTTCTTGCTTTTTAGAACTCCAAGTCACAGCTCCAGAACCAAAAGAAAAAAATAGTGCCAGAGGTGCTCTTTCCATGATCCAAACATCCTGACCAATCACTATCACAAAATCCAATCAATCTGAAATTTGATGTTTTATTGTACCAAACTCAAAAATTGATTGTTCCAGCTACACGCGAAGTATTCTCGTTGCAGCTCTATAGTGTTGCTTTGTCGGATTATGCATAAACCTGGAAACAACAGTTACAGAAAATGCAATGTCAGGCCTTGTATGAGTTAAATAGATTAACCCTCCATAGAAACTCCTAAAAAACGTTGAATTAGCCTTCTCTGTTCCATCATCTCAGTGCAATTTCTCATTGATGTTCATTGGAGTAGCTGACACATGGCACTTCAACATATTAAACTTCTTCAACAAATAGTCAGCATATTTCTTTTGACACAAAAAAATTTCATGTCCACTTTGAACAACTTCAAGCCCCAAAAAATACGTCAACAACCCCGAATCAGACATTTCAAGCTTTCTCATCATGCATGATTTAAATTGAGCCACCATGGACTTCGATGATCCAAAATAAATCATGTCATCAACGTAAAGACAAACTAATAAGAAATTTTCCAATACCTTGCCTTTTTACGTAGAGAGTTGGCTCACTTTCGCTTCTTGTAAATCCATGTTCAAGAAAGAAAGAATCAATCTTGTTATACCACGCACGGGGTGCTTGCTTTAGCCCATACAACGCCTTTTTTAACCGATAGACTTTATTTTCATTTCCATGCACAATAAAGCCTTGTGGTTGATAAAAAAAAAAAAAAACACTTCCTCCAATTAGTCTCCATTAAAAAAAAAAACAGATTTCACGTCAAATTGATACACAGGCAGTTGTGAGCAGCTAAAGCCAATAACCCTGACAATTTCAAACCGTGCAACAGGAGAGATGTCTCATTGTAATCAATACCTTCTTGTTGGGAATATCCTTTCTGTACAAGCCGAGCTTTATGCTTTTGAATGCTTCCATTAGCATTATACTTCGTCCGAAACACCCATTTAAGGCCCACAATATTCTTATTTGAAGGAGCTTCAACCAACTCCCATGTTGAGTTTTTTTAATAGCATGCATCTCTTCCATCATAGCATTCTACCAATAAGAATATTTTGCAACTTCTTCAAAAGTAGATGGATCAGTAACCATCAAAGCAAAATCACATGAGTTATAAAGATCACTCAAAGACCGAAAGTTTCTTGGTGTAGTCTCACTAGAGTCTGAATCTGTTTCAGAACTCATGGAAACTTCCTTACTACCACTGCTAGTTGATATAGAAGCTGACCGAATAGACAGTTGCTCAGGATGGTCCTATTCTAATATTGCATTTACATGACTTGGAACAAAATCCTTATCAACTTTCCACTTCATTGCTGCCTTTTCATTGAACAAACATTCCTGCTTATTACCACTTTACCACTTTGCCACTTAAAACATTATATAGAAGATATGCTTTGGAT